GTAGCGAGTATGAGGTAAAGTGAAGTCACAGAATGCGTAGGAGTCAGGAAGGGGGACCAGCAGGGAACTGCGCATGTATTGTGATCATGTCCTAGCTCTCCTCAGATAGGGCATGTGGCTCAACAAGGCTAATCCTGTCTATGGGATGTTGAAGTACCCAATGCCCAAATGTGGTATAGGAGTTACTCCACCATCAACGTACCAAATTCTGTAGAATAGAGGAATTCTAACCAATAAAACCACGTCTTCCGAAATGCCGGTCAGTGAGGTGTAGCGTTGCAGTAAGTTCCTCCATCACCCGAATTTCGTCTACCTTGCGGAGCCACATCCCCACTGACGGCGGGGTGGCACTTTTCCAGCATAGGGGAATGCAAGCCTTGGCCGCGTTAAGTAAGTGGATCAGTAAAGATTTGCGGTATTGGGCCCGGGACAGAGTGGACAGGTGAAGCAGAACCGCAGCTGGGTTCCCCGCCAGGGAGACCCACGTGAGTTGCTTGACTATACGGAGGACTGCATCCCAAAACCCCCCGAGACTCGAACACGCCCTGAAGATGTGAAGGATAGAGCGGTCCTCCTGTCCACATCTCCAGCACGACTGCGAAGTCTGAGGGAACATCTTGTGTAGCGTGGTGGGGACGTAGTACCATCTAGTGAGGATTTTGTACCCAGTTTCTTGGATAGAGCTAGCCATGGAAGCTTTGTGTGCAAAGTGAAGCATATAGTCCTTTTGGTCCTGAGTGAAGGTTAATGCTAGATCTCTTTCCCATTTTGCTATAAAGCTAGGTTCAGGACAGTTGTCTATTTGTGTCAGGAGGGCATAGGCTCTGGACAACCCATGGTCAACATATTCCCCAGTCTGGCAAACCTCTTCAAACATTGTCACATCAGTCCGTATAGAGGGGAGATTGCCCACTTTAGTAAGAAAGCTACGTAGCTGGAGGGTCTGCCATCTCAGCAGAGGAGGGTTTACCAAATTGCTCAACGATTCCAAGCTAGAGTTCTCCCGGAGGGGTCTGAAATGGCCGATCCGGAATCGGTTGGACAGCACCAAGCGCGAGAATGAGCTGTCCTCTAGGCCAGGAATGAAGGTCGGATCCCCCACGACCGGAGTTAAGAGAGAGGGAGAGGCATCGTCTGGGATCAGTGCGGTCATTTTTTTGAGGACACGGAGTGTGGTGCCTGTGAGTGGGTGGCGCAATATCTCCCCGGGCAAAGGCTGCGTTGTCCACAGCAACCCCGGCATCGGTAGCGGTGAAGCGGCCTGCTGCAGTTGGAACCACCTTTTGTCAGACGACATATTACACCACTCAAACGCTTGGGCCATGTGTACGGCCGCATGATAGCGGATGGGGTCTGGGAAACCAATCCCTCCTCGCGTCTTAGGCAATGCCATGCGGGTTTTATTCAGTCTGTGAGCTCCGTTTGCCCAAAGGAAGGACGCAAATTCCCTCCGTAGCAGTCTCAGGAAGCAACGTGAATCTTTACTTCTCTTCACTCACACTGTTAACTTCAATCATCCAATCACATACAAGCAAAACTTTCGTTTTGTTTGATTTCCTTTATACATGATCTGGTGTCCAAACTAAAAACAGATTCTCCTAATTTACTAAGTTAAGTGACCAATTACTTTAAAAAAACAAATATCCCCTACTACTTTAGTAAACCAACCTAGCTGAGCTAGTTAATTAACTGATGGATATGCAGAGGCTGCAGTGAATTGTACTAATATTTGCAACAGAACTGTTGATGCCGTTTTGCCAGTCAGCGTAAGCAAATGTCTGCATTGTGCATATAAGACTATAGAATAGGATACAGTCTATATTGGTATGGTAGTCCATCTACTGTGCAGATGTCTAGTTTAGGATAGATTACTGCTTACTACTGCATCTGTGAGAACTGTAAATCAGTAACCTATGTCATTCAGGGTTATAATTCAGCATCCAGATACATTTTGGTATATGAAGGCTACAGATGCACAGTTGGAGCACTTTGCATATTTACTTAACATAAGGTCTACATACCAATGCTGCTTATACAGCTAAAACACAGGCTTGAATACATTTAAATGATTACCTGGTCTCAAATGGAGATGCAAAGCCTGGCCCTAATCTGTATGTGGTTTTCAACTTTCCTTTCCATGTGTTTGGTGCCTCTATTCCAGACATCTTACTAGAAAAAAAACAAAAGGCATTATGTTACTTCTTTTACAGTTTCCTATAACTGTTTAACCTAAATTATCTGCATTGTCATTTTTTCTGTAATAACATTGCAATGTATGCTATAATAACTTGCAGTAACCAGTCTTACTTGGGTGAGAACTTTCAAACTCAGAGGAGACTTCCTGAATAATTCTCTAGGTTTCAGACTTTAAATATATCTAAGTGTAGGAGCATGAAATACAAAAGGTCTGAAAAGAGAATAATTAGAGAAGTACAGATTTTATAGTCTGGGGAGCAATCCTGATCTAAGCAAATAAAAGGATTGAAACTTTAATCATCCTGTCTTCAGGCTATTTGTATTTGGAATTCCTACACAATGATATATGCAAACATCCTCCATCAGTGAAGACTGCCTGTCTTAGTGAGCAACCTTGAATGAAGCCCCAAATAAGATTACATCTGCCACAGTCATCACCAATATGATTTGATCCTACATCAAAATAACTATTATATGGGTCTAGAAGATCTGGAGAATTTTGTGATTCAAATTGGATTAAAAGAGGGGATCTCTGGATTACACCCATTACACTTTTCCCACATACACTGAACTTTATTGGAATGATCATTTAGGTGAATTATCCACTGCTGATATCTACTATAGTACTAATCAGCACTGTATGTAAAGGAACATATTAATCTACCGTAGAGAAATGTTTGAGGAAAAGAGGACTGACTAACCCCTTAGCAAATGTTTGTATTTGCCTCACTCTACTTTTTACCATGTACTTCCATTTTATTATCAGACAAAGGTGTATCATCCATATGTCATAGATTAACCACTTGAAGACCGGGGTGTTTCACCCCCTTCCTGGCCAGGCCATTTTTCAGTATTCAGCGCTGCGGTACTTTGACTGACGTTTATTCCGTCATGCAATGCTGTACTGATACGAATTTCATACCATTTTTGGGGGACAGATAGGGCTTTCTTTTGGTGGTATTTAATCACCACTGGGGTTTTTATTTTTTACTATATACCAAAAAAAGTACCCTAAATTTTGAAAAAAAAACATGTTTCCCTATAAAATGTTATGAAACATTTATTTTCACCCCAATTTTTTGGTATAATGTAAAAGACGTGGTCACGTCGGGTAAATAGACACTAAACATGTCAACCTTTAAAATTGCGCGCTCCCGCGAAATCACAGCACGACGAACGACCGCAACCAAAATTGGCCATAGGCGACACTTTAAACGTTTTTACCGCTCATCAGTTTAGTGTTATCAGTGATTGATGTCCCTAAAATTATTGCTCTCACTCCGACGTTCGCGGCGATATGTAACATGTGCTGCATAATGGGCGCAATTGTCGTTTTCGTACATAGGCGCACCCGACGCATGTTTGCATGTGTATGTGGGGGGATGGGGGACTTTAAAACATTTTTTGTGTTATTTTTTAAAATTATTATTTGTGAATATTTTTTTTAGCTTCTTTATTTTT